AAAAGCTTAGTAGACTTCGTTTGAAGGCTCCAGAAGTCTACTAAAGAAAAGAGGTTATTTTTGTAGTTGACCGTATTTTGACTTTTGAATATAGACTTCCGTATGAAATCTACTGTTTACGTCTGCAGAATAAGTCTACCTTAAAGTTACTTTTGTAGTTTGACCAAAAACGTATAGATCATTTTAGTGTTTGACTACCGTTTTTAAAAAATTCAAAAAATTCCGAAAAACTTCAGTAAACTTCCCAAAGAAGTCTAAAAACTGTAGACTTCTCTGTGAAGTCTACTTATATTTTTCGGTCAAACTTAGAAGGAATCTTTTTTTAGTAGACTTCATTGTGAAGTCTACTCAAAAAATTCAATTGCAAAAATAACCTATTTTTTCGGTAGACTTCTATTAAAAAGGTAGACTTCAAAAGTAGACTGTCAGAGAAGTCTACTCTTACATGAAGCCTACAATAGAAGTCTACTTTTTTAGTCAATGCATCGGTCAAATGCTAAAGTAACATTTTTGGCCGGAAGTCTACTTCTGAAGTCTACTGAAGGAAAAGTCAACAGATTTGTCAATTGCAAAAATGACATGTTTTTAAGTAGACTTCATTAGTAGACTTCTCTATGAAAAAGTAGACTTCTCCTCCAGTCTACATTTGAAGTCTGCTGTAGAAGTCTACTTTTTGACGTTTTTTTAAAACGCGTTTTAGGAATATTTATAAAGTTTTTTTCAAATTTTTTGGATTAGAATTGCTTCTTAGTAAGTGATTGAACTACCCAGTGAATAATTTTTCATTTCATTTGATATTTATTGTTGAATCAGAAGTTTCGATTTTTAAGCTACTTAGCTTATAAATGTAGACTTCGTCGTGTAGTCTACTAATGTTCTTTTCGGGAGAAGTCTACTCTTGATACAAAAATTCTGTATGCAGTGTTTGCTAATATGGTTTATATGGTTATTTTTTTAGAGAATGGCTCAAATTCCAGTTGTGTACGGGGAATGGAAGATTGAGGAGAATTCATGGCATTTTGTTGTTGACATTGGCAAAGGTGCAAGAATGTGGTTTTTGAATGATGGTTGCACCTTGGGGGAGCTTACTGAGATGGCGCGAGATGATTATAACTTGGGCAAGAAGACTGAGCTCATCGAGTTAATACTCACTACCAGTCTCAATGTTGCAAACTATGGCTCCAGATACACCTTCAATGCATGTCACCAATGATAGACAAGTTTCAAGATTGATTGCGTTAAGCAGAGTGCATATGGTACGTCTTTGTGTGTCCAGTCGAGTGGAGATGGATACTGAGGAGAACCAGGAAGGATCAGATGAAGATTTAGGTGAGGAGTCTGAGGAAAATTCAGAACATTCTACCGATGATGAGGCAGCCAGTTCTGATGTGAATGAGGATGGAGAAGATGTCGACGATACAGCTTACTCTGACGGAGAAGATTACAGTGTCTATGGTAAAGTGAAAGATGAAGATGATGATGAAGATGAAGTCTGTATTGAAAATGTCAGAAACAGATATGGTGAAACAGGAAGCACGCCCATGTCATGGTCTGATAATATATATGTTAAGGCAAGTTTCCCTACAAAGGAGAAGCTGTTATCAGATGTTAGATTGACTGCGATAATGGTAAAATTTGCTTTTAAAAGAGAGAAGTCTACGAAGATTCTGTTTGTGGCTAAATGTCGAGTGGAAGGATGTGCTTGGATGGTTAGAGCGAGCGTGAAGAATGATGAATTCACTTTTTGGGTGACAAAATATGTGAAAGACCACACATGTTCAATAGGCCAGCGAATGGCTCAGCGGGGGAAGTCTACTCCTAAGTACATTGGCAAGCTGTTTATAAGCCATTTCGGCATCATTGATAGTCTTACACCAGAACATGTCAAGGTTTCAATGAAGCATATGTTTGGCATCAAGATGGATTACACTACTTCATACAGATCTTTGATATATGCCCAACAATTGGTCAGAAGAACAGCTGAAGATGGATATGCTAGTCTCCCAGCTTACCTACATTCAGTTAACAAAGCCAATCCAAGAACTGTATCAGCTCTTCATGTAGATTCCAATAACAAATTCAAATATCTATTTCTCGCATTTGGAGCATCGATTGCCGGTTTTCAGTACATGAGGAGAATTATTGTGGTGGATGGATGTCATCTAACAGGGAAATACGAAGGTACTTTGTTGGTGGCCACCGCACAAGATGGAAAATTTCAGATTTTTTCTTTGGCCTTTGGAATTGTTGATAGTGAAGAGGATGCTTCATGGGAATGATTTTTTTTAAACTGCGTGAATGTATCTCAGATGGTAATCCTTTGGTGATAATTTCTGACAGACATCTTTCTATTAAGAAAGCTTGTCAAACTGTTTTCCCATGGGCAAAACGAGGGATATGCTACTACCATCTACAACATAACATAGTAACAAAGTTTAAGGGGAAACAGTTGCTGTACTTGGTCAAACGTGTGGCTTATGCTTACAACCTCTATGACTACAACCGGTACATGGCGGAGTTGAAACAGATCAAGCCTGACCTTGCTGACTATTTGGAAGAAGCCGATGTCTCCCTTTGGTCCCGAGTTCATTTTGTTGGAGACAGATACAATATTAAGACTAGCAATGTCGTAGAGTCTATAAATGCTGCACTTAAGAAGGCCCGTGGCTATCCCATTTCATTCCTCTTGGATTTCATACGAGAGAAGCTCGGTCGGTGGTTTTTAAAATGCAGAGAGGATGCTTTGAGTCTCACAACACATAATACTCGGGGAGTGGAGTATTTGTTGGCGATTCGTGGACATTATGCAGATGCAATGGAGGTGGACCGAATTGACACTTGGAGATACTATGTGAAAGGAGGAACCAGGAATTGTATTGTTGATTTGGAACATGGAATGTGTGAATATGGTGTGTTTTATATCGAGAAAATCTCATGTTCACATGCCATTGCAGCTGCATTAGCCGGTGGGATAGCTGTGGATTCCCTTGTATGTCCTACGTATTCGAAAAACTACTTGTTTGCTGCATACTCTGCCAACATATATCCCCAAATTTCAGAGGTCCAAGGAGTCCAACTATCAATATGTCTGCCACCAGACATTCGCCGCAAACTAGGCAGACGGAAGAAGTCTCGGTGGCAATCATGGCTAGAAATTGCTAGGAGGAAAAGCAAGAAGCCAAGGAAGCTGCACAAACTATACAACTGCTCACAATGCAAGCAACCTGGTCATACCCTACCGAATTGTGTAAGTTGATCTAAACTCATCTAATAATGTGCTATACAAGATTAACAGAGTTTATTTACTAAACTTTATGTCTTTCCCTTACACGTCGAAGATTCACCAGGACAATCACAAGAAGGCTCCTGAATAGGAGGACAAAACTGCTATTGTTGTCCAGAAATCTACTGTGGAAGTCTACTATAGAAGTCTACTATGTATGTGATATTTTGTTTATGGTTAGATTTGAAATGACTTCATTTAAGTAACTGCTTTAATGACTTTAACAGTGCGTATAACCGTTGTACCTGTTTGTCTACGGTATTTCTGCTTATAAATTCTCGGGTTTAGACAAATTATAGTTTCATTCCAGACCATAGAAGATGTCGAACCTGATAAACTTCAACTCTCTCCCTTCCGACATTCTGTGGGATATCCTCTTAAAAATCACATCTCATTCCTACGCTGCGCTCTGTAAAGCAAGAGTTTTCTCCAAAAATCTAAATGAGATTTCTAATGAAGAGGGTTTTTTAAGAGCCGTTAATCTAATAACCTTGACAATTCCATGGGTCTGGGATCAACATGGGAGGGTTGACGCATTCTTTAGGCACTATTTGGAGTGTAGAAATCGTACAGCGCAATACCTACGAGGCGTCTCTCTTATCTTCTATGAAGACAGCATCCAAGCAGGGTTTGATTTAATAAAAGGTGTCATCAAATGAAGGATGCCTCATGGCTACCTACTCCATGGTTATGTTCTCTTTAACCATGGATGGCAGCCATGATGTATTTAAACACATTCGTGGTCTACTTCCGGCAGAGGCAACGAAGATGAGGAAGACTATGCAGCACATCAACAGGTGTCCGACCACTTATAAGAAGCCTGACGAGTTTCACGAACCGGTCTTCCATATTTTTGCTAAGGCACAATCAAGGAGTTGTGCTTGTATGAATCTGCCAAACCAGCACTGGATGGATGATGAAAGCCTTGTCGACTCATATGGTGACAAACTCTGCAGTCCTTGCTTCTGGAAGTTGGAATGTGCCATATTCTAGAAAACAATTCCTGGATTTGCAAATGAATGGCCGCGTTGAATTTAGTTGACTCCATGTTTTATGTTTTTGTGTTTACTTATATGTTTAATTGACAGTAGTAGACTTCTGTAGTAGACTTCGTTTGTAGACTTATATTTATTGTAAGCAACATATTTATGAGTTCTACTAAACTTTTTCCATTGACACTATCAGGAGTGCATTTTCAATAATATTTCACAGGATTCAGTGTTACGTAGAAATCGAAACTTATAAATACAAACATGTTAATTACTTAGTAGACTTCAGTACAAATACAATTACAACTTAGTAGACTTCAGTCGAAGACTTCAGACGTAGACTTTAGTTTAATTACAATATCCTAAACGAAATTACAACATACTTTGGCATTTTAATTACATGAAGTCTACTTTCCATCATATTTCACAGGATTCAGTGTTACGTAGAAATCAAAACTTATAAATACAAACATGTTAATTACTTAGTAGACTTAAGTACAAATACAATTACAATTTAGTAGACTTCAGTCGTAGACTTCAGTTTAATTATAATATACTAAACGAAATTACAACATATTTGACATTTTAATTATACGATAAGTGGCCAAAAAACTTCCACACCTATCATCTACCAATTGCTAAAATGACCTGCAATCACATTGAAGGTCATTTATGCAAGTAGCCCAAAAGTTGCCATAAAAATCAAATTAGTTTTAAATAAGGATACCCTAAACTTTCCTATCATAGATATCCAGCCCGGTTGCATCTAGCTTATCATGGCCCCTAGCACCTATTTCGTCAAAGATCTCTGCAGCCATTTTCTCCCTGATTTGTCGAATGTTTTTATCACAAAGTTGCAGAGGAAATGGCAAATCCAAAGCATGACACTCGATGTACTTCAGGCAGTAGACTCCACAATCACCACTCTGAATGTTTTGTATCTCCGTACCTGGTACTCGCGAATGTATGAACGGCGTGTAGGGGAATCTCCACTTGTCTTCAGCAGGTGCATAGGACTGAAGAAGGTAGGGTATCATAACAGTGAGAGGCTCCACAGCTTCATCAATTTGGGCGTCAGATGCATATTTGGTTCCCGCATGACTATCCCATATCGTGATATGCCTCGTCACAAATGAAATCCAGATAGCTACCCAATGGTCCCCCATGATGTGCAACATTGAGTACAAATGGTCGACTTCATAGGCCCACGTCTTTTTAGTCTGGCAGTAGATAGGTAATTTGCCTGTGTAGTACGAATACGCTCCAGGTGGTAGAAGTTTGCCAGAACCATCATCATTCGGCTCAGAGTTTTTGAAGTCATTGTAGTCACGCCTCCAAACCGTACCAAACATGGAGTTGAGGAAGCAAATCCGATCGGATACAAACCACTTCGGATGCTTGGATAATCGCAGCCTGAGTACGTTAATATAAGCTTCCATGTGCTGCACATCGATGAAAATAAGACATGAGTAAAGTCTGCATATGAAGTCTACTAAAGAAGTCTACATATTAGGTATACGTATGAAGTCTACCTATGAAGTCTAATATGAAATAGTAAAACACTAACCATATCAGCTAGCCATTTCTTCGGTGTCCAGAGAATGTAATAGCAGTCGATCGAAGAGTTTTTTGGACGTCTTGGATAGGCACTGTATTTGTGAAAAAGTCAGACAGGAAAATAATAATATGAGGAAGTCTACTTACATAAGTATAGAAGTCTACTTACGGGTTTGCTTTCACAAAGTTCATTAGAGTCGTATGCTTCGCCCTAACACCGGTTTGATCGAAAGGATCATATCCACGGACCTGGCCGGAGTGAGATGCTGACGTTGGAATGATCCCCTTTGTGGTACTATTTCCTAAGAAAGGGCTCTTATGTGTCGCAGCCAGCTGTTGGTTTCTGGCACTCGTTGCGCGGGCAACTATCTGAGCCGCTGCTCTGGCTTTGGCATTTTTGGCTAGTGTAACTGCGTCGAAGTCAACATCACACGTCTTTGGGTCAATTTCACAAAAGCTAGGCTCGGGGGCCTCTTCTTCCTTCATGGCAGCCTTCTTTCCTTTTGCATCCTCGGGGGCATTAACACTCTCACTCGCACCAACGTTGACATTATCTTTCATCGGAGCATTTTTTTCTCTGAATTACTCTGCAGTTTATTGTCACAAACAGGCATGAATATACAAATAACACCACCATGGCCTATAATTTAGTAACATGTTTCATCATAGTCTGGAAATTGGAAACACAATTTTTTTATAACATAAGTAAATAATCTCACACGGTACATAGCATTATTAAACATGTTCGAATTCAAATGACATTAGTATTAAGTGTTCGTATCTTTGCGTGATCTTGTTCGCATGAAATGTTTTCGTATAGGCGGAGGGTTTTTGGTACTAACTCCTTCATGCTTCTTGGATCCAGTGATCTGCTGCTGGGTTGGCTGATCATTGTCCTTAACCTCTTCCTCAGTGTGCTTCGTCGACCCTGTAGTCAACTCCTCTACCGCGCGCTCTATAGATTCAACCTTGTCGGTGAGAAGTTTGATCTGCTTTTTACAGCTACCAAGACCATTCAGCATCTTGGTTGAAAAGCTTTTGGAGCATTGGTCGAAGTGCGCTTTCATAGTAGTGACAACGTCGACCCCTTCATCACCAACGAAAGAGGCGGCAGAGGCAGAGGCTGTGCAGGTTTTCTTGCGACTTGATTCATCTGAGGGAAGGCTCCTCTTTCCTGCTTCTGCCTTGACGATGTGTGCACCCAGAACACCTTCCAAAGGCCAGTGGTTTTTTGAGAACTTGAACTGGGGGTCATGGATTGCATTGACAATCTTGACAATATCCGGATTCTGTTCCTCATCATCCCAAACTGGAAACATATCCGCCAAGTCCTTAGCCACGCAGTACTGTATGCGAGCCTGAAAAAATACAATAAGTAAATGAATTACTAAAAACTACGTATGAAGTCTACCACTGAAGTCTACAACTGAAGTCTTCTTCTAACAAGATTTTTATATAGCAGTATACACATGATGTCTACTCCTGAAGTCTACTTTGTAAATTCATTACTATATAGAAGTCTACTACGGAACAAGACTTCTAAATGAGAATGACTAGACTAATACAGTACCTGTTTTAGCATGTTGGCTTTGACGTTCTTTCGTCCTCTTGATCCTTTGTAAGCCAGCAGAAGAGGTGTAGGATCATTTGGCAATGGTTCGCCAAATTCAGCAGCAAAATTCGGCAGAGCATAGTACACCCACACTTGAAGAGCTTGCACAAACCCTTCTATATGAATGTTTTTGCTGAGATCTTTCTCCTTAACAGACTTGATCAGATGCTGAAAAGCAATTCTTCCCCATGGGAACTCCTTAAAACCTTTGAGATTCATCACTAGTCTGGCATGGTTGACATTTGTAGATAAGCCTGGTCTCGTTGCCACTATGAAACCAGCGTAGATCCCAAGATATCCCAACCGCAGCCTATCATCCCGAGACCATGATGAGCAGTTGGAACAGGCTTCAATAATTTCAATAGTGCTTGGGTCCGACTCGACATCGACCCCCATTAGCTCCCAAAATGCCTGCATGTCATCGGAAAGCTCAAGATCAGTTACAGCCAAGTCATCCACGTACCCGCAGTTGAGTCCGGTGATCTCGTCAAACTCATGCAATGAAAACCGAATTGGAGTGGTACCAATCAAGCTCCATATCTCGTACCTCTGCTTGCAAACTATCTGAAAGGTCAGCATGTGGTGCACCAGCCTAGAAGCCAAACCAAAATCCAAGTCGTGGAACTTTAAAAAGACACCCAACGGTGACTCGTAAATCTCTTCCCATTCATCCTCTTGTAGAGCTGACCGTAGTGTAGGTACCAGCCTATAATCATCAGCATAATAGCCGATGCTTTTATTCGGGGCTGGCTCACCGCCTTTGGTGTATAGTCTTCTAGGGAATTTAGAGGCCACCATTATCTAACACAGATTTCTGCATCAACGGTAACAAAGCTCTAATGAGAAAAACTAGTTATAACTAACGGTTTGAAACTATACACGAATAAAGTCTACTTTTTGATACAATGAAGTCTACTTTTACAAAATGAAGTCTACTTTTTCAAAAATGAAGTCTACTTTTACGAAATAAAGTCTACTATTGCAAAATAAAGTCTACTTTTGCAACATGAAGTCTACTTTTACAAAATGAAGTCTACTTTTTGCAAAATGTAGTCTACTTTTACCAAAGGAAGTCTACTTTTGCCAAAAGAAGTCTACTTTCACATTCTAAGTATAATCCGAGTCGATAAGTCTACTGAAGCCAACCGAAGCAATCAAAACATCAAAAAACAGTATATGAAGTCTACGGAAGCCACATGAAGCAATCAAAACATCATAAATACTGCATATCACTACAAGAAAAACTAACATTATTAGCTCATGATTAATGCTATATTAAGGTTTTGATAGCGTTTTCATGAACGCTGTGACCGCCGGAGCTATAATAGGATACCCACATATAGTAGCGTTTTTGAGAGACGCTATAATATGGACATATAATATAGCGTATGTTTTATGCTGTTTTCAGACTAATTGGTAGCTCATGTTTGCACTGTTTAAATATTAATAGTAGCATTTGTTTTTTCCTATCTTACGTTGTATTGTAGCTATTATATATTGCCATTCATTTATTTACAGCAGCATTTGTGTGAACTTGTTAAATTCTTTTTCGTAGTTCAAATCGCATGCTGTGTTTTTTTTTTTTGCAGCTCTTTTTTATTGTTGTCGTCTATTTGGTGGTGGCATTTTTTTCAAGCTTTGTTATGCTCTGTTGTATCTTTATTTTTTTGCTATAGAAAATGCAATAACGGTTTTTTTTTTCAATTCGAAATTTCTTTATTTCGGTTCTGTATTCCTGTTCCAGCTTGTGTCATTCCAAGGGAGTTCAATAACAGAAACTACAAACTCCAATATGAAAACTTCATTACATAGCGTTCAATTCAGTAAACTAATCCAAAGTGACATAGTACAGTACACACACGACCAAACAACAGACGATAAATACTAAAACAGTCATATTCCATTGACAACAAATTCAAGCGAAAATGTCAAAGGAATCTTACGTATCTTCAGATGATGATGACTTTATCCTCTGGCCAAGCAATTGATGTTCTCAGCGCAACGTCCATACACTCAATCTCGGATGAACTCCTCCAAACCTTTGCATCTTTGATTTTAACAACGTCAACCAAAACTCTAACTGCATTTGGACCAAGTGGAACAAAATGGACAGTTTGGAGTGGATTGTTTGAAGCCCACCTTCCTTCAGCTACCACACGTTTCTGTCCGGTAACATCCATTAGCATGCACTTCTGGTTTTCTTTGCCAACTTGCTCTACTATGAATTGCTGCTGCTGGTACAATTTGCATATATTAACAGATATGAAACATATTGAGGAGATAGCCAAACATTGATCATCACAAAAGGAAATCATAGTACCCGAGTTTCAGATGGTGGAGACTCCGAAAGAGATTGAGATTTCTTCATAGGCGCTGGTGGAGTTGTTGCAGATTTCTCAACTGGATGTGTAGAATCCGGCGTTGTTTCAAAGACAACCCTATTCACCGGCCACGCCACAAATTTATTCAGCGAATCCTCAAGATCTAGTAGTTCTGTTGTCGGCTGCCACAGAAAGGTATTTGGTTCCATCACAACATCTACAAATACTTTCACAGCATTTGGTCCGAGTGGAAGTCCATTAACTAAAGCCTTTGGTTCACGAGACTGCCATCGTCTTTCGGCCACAACTTCTTCGTCATTACTTGTCCAATTAAGTAACTTGCAGAGGTTGCGAGAACTCGAGCTGGGACTCTGGTTTAAATAAATAAAAAATGAGATGCAAGTACAAACAAAACCAAATGAAGGAATTTCATGTGGTTTCGATGCTTACCAGTGGTGGAAGATCTTCTACCTCACAACTGTCTCCGTAAACAACAACAAAATTTTGAGGCCAAGCAATCCAAATGAAGGTCTCCACAGAAAAGCTTCTGGTTTTGTTACTGTTTCCACAAGAACTTTGTACGAATTAGGACCTAGTGGTATATTATTGACAAAGTCCTCCGGTTCAGCTGATAGTATACGCCCTTCTGCGACTTTGTCATCCGTACCTGTCCAGTCAAACAACAAGCATTTTGCTTGTAGTTTTTTGTTCACACTCTGTATTCACAAACATATACCATATGTAGTTATAGACGCCATCGTAATAACTCAAATACAATAATAAGGGTTTAGTTAACACTTACTCTTGCTGCAGAATTCTCTCCTACTTCAACCTCCGCTTTCTGAAACATAATATATACTATTACCAAGTCATATACACAGCAGAACGAGTATATATGTAGTTGAACTGATTTTTGGAGCACTAACCTGAGTCTGCATCATTGACAGTTGCTCCTGTAAGTCCTGCACCTGCTTCATCAATCTGAACTGATTTTGTTGCATGTCCTCCATATACTTATTCTTCATTTGGTAACAAGCAAATTTCGTCTGGCTCATCCCTCTACCCATAACCCTGAGTCTCCCCGGATTGTCAGGTCCTAAAACCTGTGATAGTATATCCTCTTTTGGATTTGACGTTTGTGAAGAAGGAGCATCAGACTCTACTAACTCAGCGGCCTTTTTCTGGTTGTATCAAAATTTTGTTATGTTAAAAATTTTAGTATACTCATGCAACCACACGGATAATATATATATACAATAAAGAAGCTTACAATCTTTTCAGCTGCATTTGTGTTGACTGTTGTGCCATCCTTCTTTGTTCTTGACTTGACCAATACCTTCACTCTCGTCACTTCCGAAGGCTGTGAGCTTTGTTGTTTCTGTAACACATGAAAGTTCGTTTTTAAAAGAGGACATTGCTGTAAAAAAGATAAAAAGGACATCGCTGAAAACCCGAAATAAGAATTACCATCTCCTCAGCTAGTCGGACCATTCTCTTCTTGCTACAAGTATGTGGAATCTGCTTTTGTCTTCTTTCTTTGTATTTGTCACTGACAAGCTGTAAACAGATATGAGTTAAACGTATACAAAACGAAAAGCTAAGTGCGGTGAGATACCTTAAACGCGGGA